AGTATTGAAATTTGTGGCTTTCTGACTGAAGAGGTAGTGTCTCAAGTCTGAATTTTGTCAACAAGCATCAAATAAAAGTCCTATTGATGAAGCACTTGAGGGCTACAACAAACATGATAAAATAATTTAAATATATAATAACTACTAATTCTGAAACCAGTAGTTGAAGTAGTTGAAGAATGTTAATTCATTGCATACATTTCTTTCTTTTTTTTTTTTTTTAAAGATTCTATTTATTTATTTGACAGAGAGAGATCACAATTAGACAGAGAGGCAGGCGGGGGGTGGGGCGGGGGGAGCAGGCTCCCTGCTGAGCAGAGAGCCTGATGTGGGGCTCGATCCCATGACCCTGAGATCATGACCTGAGCCTAAAGCAGACGCTTAACGACTGAGCCACCCAGGGCCCCTCATTGCATACATTTCTGAAGAAATATGAAATGGTACTTAAAGAGTGAAAATATCCAGATAATACATAAATTCACACTTGGGAAAAAGATTCCTTTTTTCAAGACACATTTATTGGGTACCCACCATATGCCAGGCTAATTCCTGTTTACTTTAAACTACTAACAAACTGTTATGGAGACATACCTGTGCCTCATTGCCCTTTAACAAACACTAGCGTCCATCATATCCACTGTGTTAAGCACTAGGAATATTTCTTTAATAAGTTTTTTCAAAAGATTTTACCTATTTATTTGTCAGAGAGAAAAAGAGCACAAGTAGGGGAGCAGCAGGCAGGGGGAGAAGCAGACTCGTCTCCGAGCAAGGAGCCCGACGCAGGACTCAATCCCACCATCCTGGGATCATAACCCAAGCCGAAGGCAGACGCTTAACCGACTGAGCCACCGGTGTCCCAGCACTAGGAATATTTCCATAAATAAGACAAACACTGTCTCTGTCCTGGATTCTCAGAGAGGAAAAAAGAAAAACCAAGTACTTACAAATTCCAACAAAGAAGAAAAAAAGGACCAGGAAATGGCAACAGGGAACTCCTCTGGGCAGGTGGCTGGAAGGAGGCCTCTGGAAAAGCGACATCATGCCCTCGCGGATGAGGAGGAGACAGCTCCGGGCATTCCCGGGAAAGAGCAGGAAGAGGCGGCAAGAACCGCAGGTGCGAAGGGGCGGAGCCGGGAACGAACCTCGAAGAGCAGAAGACCGCGGTGCGGCGGACCTCGGAGCACCAGGGCATGGCACAAGCGGAAGGCAGAGAGGCAGGAACCAGATCCCGCAGAGCACTGCAGCCCCCGGGCAGAAGCTCGTGCGCCATTCGGAGTGTAAGGGGAAGCCATTAAGGCTTTTTAACAGGAAAGCAAGATGATCTGATTCCATTTTCATAAAAATCATTCTTGCAGGGGCGCAGGAGGGGGGGGGGCTCAGTCGTTAAGCCTCTGCCTTCGGCTCAGGTCATGATCCCAGGGTCCTGGGATCGAGAGCCTCATCGGGCTCCCTGCTCAGTGGGAAGCCTGCTTCTCCCACTCCCACTCCCCCTGCTTGTGTTCCCTCTTTCGCTGTGTTGTCTATCAAATAAATAAATAAAATCTTAAAAAAAAAATCCTCTTAAAAAAAAAATCATTCTTGCAGTTGGGTGATTTTGATTAAAATGCTCATAGAAAAACAGTGGGTGAAACTGAAACGCATTTTGCAGATGTGGGGCTTGATGAAGGACCGGGAGGAATCGCGGGGGCGGGGGGGGGGGGGGGGGGGGGGGGGGGGGGGGGGGGGGGGGGGGGGGGGGGGGGGGGGGGGGGGGGGGGCGACCCTAGGCTCCTGGGCCGAGCAGTTAGGTGAGTGGCGGTGCCGCTTACTGAGGAGGGTGGTGCGGATTTCTGAGATCCAGTCTTCAAACACTGTGCGCGCTCCCTTCTGCTTTTTAAGATTTTTATTTATTTATTTGAGAGAGAGAGGGAGGGAGAGCACAAGCAGGCAGAGAGGCAGGCAGAGAGAGAGGGGGAAGCAGGCTCCCCGCTGAGCAGAAAGCCGGATGGGATCATGACCTGAGCCGAAGGCAGAGTCTTAACCCACGGAGCCCCCCAGGCGCCCTGTGTGTTCACGCCTACAGATGGGCTGCCAAAGACACGACAATTGCCCAACCCAGTGAACCCTCCTATTTCATCGCTTCTGACATGGTTAACCACTCCCTCTTGCTTAAAACTTCATTCCCTCTTGGGGCATCTGGGTGGCTCCATGGGGTCAAGCCTCTTTGCTCAGCAGGGGGCCTGCTCCCCCCACCCCGCCTGCCTCTCTGCCTACTTGTGATCTCTCTCTCTCTGTCAAATAAATACATAAAATCTTAAGGAAAAAAACCAAACTTCATTCCCTCTTGATTTCTAAGACGCCTCATTCTTCCAGTTCATGTACTCATCAGACCTCCTTCTCGGTTCCACGTACCCCCGGCTCTGTCCCTGGCCCTCTCTATTTCCTTCAATACACTCTCGGTGGTGACCTCATCGAAACAATCCACAGATTTAACTACTAACTACACGATACCTTCCAAATCTGTATTTCCAACCCGAACTTTCTCACCCCCAGAACCACCCATCCCCCTGTCTTCCACCCACTTCTATTAGGGTGTCTCAGCAGCACCTGAAACCCACCAAACCCAAAGGTAACTTCGTCATCACTGTTCCCTCAAGCCCACATTCATCTGTGAGAAGCCCCACTTGCCAAAAATGGGCCCAGCTTCCCTAGCCCCGAACCTGAGGGTCACCTTTCGCTCAAGCAAATCAATGTGCAAGCCCGATCCAACGTACTTTCTGACAGGTCACCAGCGTGGCCCCTTTCACAGCCCACTGCTTTAATTCACATCTCCGGTCTCCTCCTCGGGATTAAAGCCTCTGGTTTCTTCAGCCTCTCACCGCTCCAACCCATTCTTCGCGGCTCCACAGAGAAAGAAATCCTTCATCCAGCCTCACATACGGCAAACTAGGTCCTTTGTGAGTTAGTGCCTCTGGCTGGCTCTCCGGCCTCAACTGCCCCTCATCTCTCTCGCACTGTAACTCCAACCTCCCACCACACTGACCGACCGACAGGTCCATTCAGGACTCTGTTTCCACTGTTTCCTTGCCCCATGCCTACTCAGCTACGCGTGTCTTCCTCTGGTGGCCCGAGTCCAGTCTGGGAGGATGGCCCTCCTTAGGGCTCTCGCACACGGCTCTCAAAGGGGATTTCTCATCTTACCAACCGGTGCTTCTCCCACTGATGTAAATTACGGGAGGGCAGGGACTGTCCTTCCTAGAGCACTTTTGGTGCTTAATTCCTACACGGTGCTTAGTAAATGTTTGCTGGATAACTGTATCTCCACCAAACTCTGGAAGGTTTTCTATAAAAGGGGACTGCTCTCTGTGCACACCGTCCACGGCCAGAAAAGGTGACTTGGCAAGAAAAAACTTGCCATTGTCTTCCAAAATTAAGCGAACACTAGCTACTGCTTCATGAGACACCCTCCTCTCTCCACCCTCTTCCCTTACTGCGGAGCTGGGCGCGGCCCAGCTGCGTGAAGCCGTTGTTCTGACGATCTTTCACAGGAACGTCCACGAACACCCAGTTTTTCAGTTCTGCCTGCGGTGCTCAAGCCTAACGAAGACCGCCTCACGGCCGCGCCCTCAATAGCAGCGCCCACCCGTCCGTCGGAGGCACAGCATTTCTCATCACCTCATTTTTAGTCTATTTCCTAACTTGTTTGCTTAAAACACAAGGATTGGGGGCGCCTGGGTGGCTCCCTGGGTCAAGCCTCTGCCTTCGGCTCAGGTCTTGATCTCGGGGTCCTGGGATCAAGCCCCGCATCGAGCTCTCTGCTCAGCGGGGAGCCTGCGCCCCCTCCCCCTCTGCCAACTTGTGCTCTTCTCTGTCAAATAAGTAAATAAAACTAAAAACCAAAAACAGGCCTCACCACCCTGGCCGCACTGTGAACCCGTCCTCAAAGGAGACGGAGCACAGACCTGCGACCTGCGGAGGTGAGGCCTCACCCTCCCGGATCACCCCCCCGGGATCGCCGCGTGGACGAGCCTGCCCGGGTTCAGAGACCACAGGAAGGGCCGCCCCGCCGGGAAAGCCCGAGCGCAGACACTGCGACGCACCCGGCGCTTCGTGAACGAGAGAAACGGGGACGGGGGCGCGTTGGGGCCTGCGGGCGAGCCCGACTCGACCGAACCGCACCTCCGAGGCGAGACCAAACGTTCCCTCAGGCCACACAACCGCCCACAAAGGCCCCGCGCAAGGAACCCCGCGACCTTCCGCCGGCACCCACAGGCGGCGACCGCGCCACCCCGGGCCGCCCGAGCCCGAACCCCCGGAGCGGAGCCGGGGCGACCCCGGGCCACACGCGGGCAGGGCGGGCGGGAGCAAGACCGGGAGTCAGGCCCTCGCCCCGCAGCCGCAGGCCCCGGGAGCCCCCCGCCACGCCCCTCCCCCCTCGGCGCCCCCTCGGCGCCCCGCCGCGCCCTTCCCCCCGCCCCGCCGTCCGCCGCGCCCCTCCCCCCGCCCCGCCGTCCCCCCCCACCCCGCCCCGGCCGCGGCACCACTCACACAGCCCAAGCGCCGCCGCCAACAGCGACCACAGCCAGCGCCGGCGGGCAGCATCTGCCCGCCCCGCCACGACTCCCGCGGGCGCTGCCATCGTCCCCCGCCGCCGCCGCGCCCCGGGCCGCCGTCCCCACTGCGCTCCGCTCGGCTCCAGACAGCGCCGGGTCCTCGTCGCCGTCCGCGCCCGCGCCCCCGGCCCCTGCGCGCCGCGCGCCCGCCCCAGGCCCCGCCCCCGCACTCCGCTCATTGGCCTGCGCCGCGCCCTGGGGAGGACGCCATTGGAAGACACCGACTGTCCATCACCCTTCGCCCCCTCCCCGGATCCCCCCTTTTCCCCGTCCCCCCCAGGCCCCTTCTCCGCGCGCAGGAGGCCGGGCTCGGGAGGCGCTCGGTTCCAGCCGCCGGGCCTCCGCCCGCTGGGTGTCCGCCTGGGGCCCGCCGACTCCTCGGCCTCTCGGAGCTCCCGCCCCGCAGACCTCTTGGCAGCCCCCCGGCCGCGGGTCGCGCTCCCGGCGGTCCGCGCTGCGGGTTTCTCCGGGCCCCGAGGAAAAGGGGGCCGTCCGCGCACAAAGGCGGAGGAAACGGGCGCGACGGCGGGACTCGGGCGGCCGCAGGGAGCTCTGCTCCCGCCTTGCCCTGGCAGGGCCCGCCCTTCGCTCCGCTGGGAAGTCGGCGTGCGGCGAGCGGAGAGACCGCGGGCCGGGACGGCGCCTCCATCTTGCCCAAGTCTCCCCAGGCCCCCCTCTCGGCTCTCGGAGCGCTGGGGGCCGGGCACGAGGTCCCCGCGTCGGAGCCGGGCACGGGACCGCCCCCCGTCGTTGCCGGGCACGAGGCCCCTTTCGGAGCTCGGCGCTCCTTCCTGGCTTTCCGTTTGCTTGTCCGTCTGCGGACAACGCGCCCCTCGTTTGTCCATGGAAACGGGGTGGGGAAGTTCCTGAGTCTGGGGGCCTTGGCTGACTCTGCTCACGTCGGTCTCTTGGCCCCAACAGTGTCTGCCGCTCCCCGTTGCCTAATAAATGCTGGGGATGCTCAGTACCCCCAAAAGGCGCCGCGGGGCAGCGACAGGAGCAGGGCAAGAGCACAGTGAGAGAAGAAAAGGAAGGATCCAGGCAAGGATGTGGACCATTAGGACAAGAGAGGGGAAAGAGTATGGTGAGAAAACCCAAATGTAACCTCATTTCAGGGTTTTGTCTATAAAGTCAGTTTTAGACAAAGGGATATTTTTGCTGTTTTAGCCTGCTAGCCTTGTAAGCCAACTCATAATAACTAGCAGTAGTGAGAGAAAACTAAAAAAGCATGACAACCATTTTGCCCTGTTCTTCTCTGTAAGATCCTTATGAAGTGTGTCTGAATGTCACAGGTTGGCTAGAGGACAAATGCGTTAAGTGAATAACTATTATGTGCTGTGGATGTAGAACACCTAGACTTTATTCCCAAAAAGCACACAGGCCTCCAGGGTAGACATACAGGCACTAAATCTGTTTAAATGCTTGAAGAGAAGGAGAAACCCAAGGCCAACAGGGACATTGGTGCTCAAGGACACATGTCCTGTTACAGGCTTCTTGGAGGGTGATGATGAGGGAGCAGAAGGACTGGCTGAAGACCAAGCGTGAGCTGTCACCTGCGGCCTCTTCCCTCCCCCCACTCCTGGGGGGGACACGTGTGACATTCTTCCAGGAATCTCCCAACTATCTTAATGCCTTGCTAGTGGGGGAAAACAACCTTAGCTTGACAATGGCAAGGTGGTACCCTGTAGGTCTACTTTAACATGTAAATATCCTTTGAAACCTCCCTTTTTCCTCACTCCCCCAACCCCATAGTCTATAATCAGCCACCCCTCACAGCCCAGCTCTTTCTGCCCACGGGTCCTGTCTTGGTGCTTTAATAAACCACCATTCTGCACCAAATCGTCTCAAGAATTCTTTCTTGGTCCTCAGCTCCCGGCTCCACCCTACCCAACCTCACCTATACTCCAGAACCACATCAGTGATAAACCCCAACACACACATCTTCCTCTTGTGGGACCCACTGGTGCATGAGACATGTGGAAAAGATGCAGAAAGGATGTAGCATTCGAAGTGGACTTTATTTTTTATTTTTAAAGATCTTATTAATGCTTTTATTTGACAGAGAGAGTGAGGGAACAGAAGCAGGGGGCCTTGTAGAGAGAGAAGCAGGCTGAGCAGGGAGCCTGATGCGGGGCTCAGGACCCCTGGATCCCAGGACCCTAGGATTATGACCTGAGACGAAAGCAGATGCTTCATGACTGAGCCACCCAGGTGCCCCTGAGGTGGACTTTAGAGGATGAGTAAAGGTTCACTGGGAAAGCAACAGCAAAAGCAAATTCAGAAATGGGAAAGCAGTACCAGGTCCAAGAAATTGTGGGTAAATCTTGTGTGGTTTGGAACTTCAGAGGAGGGAGTGAAAGAGAATGCTGGAAAAGTAGGCTGTGGTGGTCTTTTGAAGAGCTTTGGGTTGTTCATTCTGTGGGCAGTAGGGACAGGTAAAAAGGGAATGACACACTCAGCTCTGTGTTTTAAAAGGTTGACCACAGCACACAGGGTCAGAAGAAAGAGGTGAAGGGGCTGGAGAGGAGGACAAGGCATGGAGAAGCATTTCAGTTGAGTGAGAGAGCGACAGGATGGGGGTCAGCTGGATGGGAAGTCTAAACAAGAGAAGAGAATCCAGGGCACCTCCGTGTCTCAGGTCATGATCCCAGGTCCTGGGATGGAGCTCAGCAGGGAGTCTGCTTCTCCATCGCCATCTACCTCTCCCCACTGCTCCTGCTCATACACATGCTCTCTCTCTCTCAAATAAGTACATAAAATCTTTAAAAAGAGAGAGAGAGAGAGAGAGAGAGAGAGAAGAATCCAGGAAGACAGATATGACCTCTAGTTTCTAGCCTGAGTGAATAATGCTACCAGTCCACCAAAACCAAAAGCCAAGGAAGAGAACCTGGCCTTGGAAGACTGCTAATAAGCTGGGCCTTGGACATAGCTTAAAATGCTGACAACACCCCACGGGCCACCAGAAGGCACTTAGATGTCAGGGAAACCACAGAAGGGCTACATGGAACATGAGCCTCATGTGGCCACAAGGTGCTCGCAAGAAACGTCAGATCACCAGTCTCAAGTCATTAGAATGTCCTTGCCGGCAAGTATGTGATGTAAAGGAAAAACAGATTCCAAGGCATCGTTTTCTTGGAAGGGTCGGAGGGCTTGGTCTATCTGAGCACTAGTTGCTGTCAGGCCTCCGTAGGGATTCCCGGGTGACACCCAGATGTGTCCACTCCCAGACTGAGCACACCAGCTCCTCTTCCCTAGATTCAAGCCCCAGCCAGCTTCTCCCCCTTCTTCTCCAGTCCCACATAGCCTGTGTGCACCCCTGCGGGGAGGAAGACCGGTCCGGGGTCCAGAGAGAACAAACAAGAACACCCAGGCTCGGAGGTGTTTTGCAGGGGGCTGGACTTTCCATGGATATTTCCACAACTTCTACAGCCACCAGAGAGTGCATAGAATGAATTTCCCATTAACTCCCTTTTTAGAGCCTTCATGGGCTCCTTCTTGCCCTTAGCATGACGTCCAGACCCTTTGCTGGCACGCAGCTTCTGTGAGCCCTTGCCTGGGGCCCTTCACCCCATACTCCAGCCATGGAACCTCAACCTGCCTTCAGGTCCAGCGCCGGCTCCTGGGGCCTGCAGGGCTCTGTTCTGTGGATTCCTCAGGCCCTAGGCCTTCCTCTGCTCCCAGAAGCTCAGCGTTTATCTTCCCATCTTTCAGAACATCACCAGAGGGTGAATTCCTCTGAAAAGGTTTCCCGCCATTTCTAGTATCTCCCTACACTGCCCTGTGTAGACATGACCACAGCGCAGATACAGCTCTGTACTCGTTCAGATTTCCAGCGATTTGAAAACCTACGATGGGACTCAGGTGTCAAGGTCTTTGCGAACACCACTGAGAGTAATGTGTAGGTGGTGAGTTCTCGATAAAGGTTACTCTTATCCTATCAGCACCTGCTGGCTGTTACCTGCTTACTTGTCTGTCTCCTATATACAATGGTCCCCCTCAAGGGATATAAGGGACTTGCCATACAGTTTTCTGCTTTCCCAGGGCCCAAGACAGAGCCTGACGCATAGGAATGCTGGTCTCCTGTTACCCTCACACTTGCCCTCTGCTCTTAGCCACACTGTCCTCATGGCTGTTTCAGGAACAGTTCAGGTACAAGCATGTCTCCTGGTGTTTCCTTTGCTCTCATGTTATCTTCTCAAAGAGGCCTGTCCTCACCCCCCTGTTCAAATCGCAACCCCCCCCCCTGCAATTTATTTCTTGGTTGTATGTACGGTCTGTCTCGTCTCCCTAGAATGTGTGTTCCCCCCCGGGGAAGGAAATGTTTCTGTTTTGCTCATGAACACAATCAGCATGTTGCATACAGCAGACGCTCAAGACATTTTTGCTGGATGAAGAGATGAATGAGTGTTTTTTTTTTTTTTTAAGATTTTATTTATTTATTTGACAGAGAGAAATCACAAGTAGGCAGAGAGGCAGGCAGAGAGAGAGGAGGAAGCATACTGAGGAGGGTGGTGCGGATTTCTGAGATCCAGTCTTCAAACACTGTGCGCGCTCCCTTCTGCTTTTTAAGATTTTTATTTATTTATTTGAGAGAGAGAGGGAGGGAGAGCACAAGCAGGCAGAGAGGCAGGCAGAGAGAGAGGGGGAAGCAGGCTCCCCGCTGAGCAGAAAGCCGGATGGGATCATGACCTGAGCCGAAGGCAGAGTCTTAACCCACGGAGCCCCCCAGGCGCCCTGTGTGTTCACGCCTACAGATGGGCTGCCAAAGACACGACAATTGCCCAACCCAGTGAACCCTCCTATTTCATCGCTTCTGACATGGTTAACCACTCCCTCTTGCTTAAAACTTCATTCCCTCTTGGGGCATCTGGGTGGCTCCATGGGGTCAAGCCTCTTTGCTCAGCAGGGGGCCTGCTCCCCCCACCCCGCCTGCCTCTCTGCCTACTTGTGATCTCTCTCTCTCTGTCAAATAAATACATAAAATCTTAAGGAAAAAAACCAAACTTCATTCCCTCTTGATTTCTAAGACGCCTCATTCTTCCAGTTCATGTACTCATCAGACCTCCTTCTCGGTTCCACGTACCCCCGGCTCTGTCCCTGGCCCTCTCTATTTCCTTCAATACACTCTCGGTGGTGACCTCATCGAAACAATCCACAGATTTAACTACTAACTACACGATACCTTCCAAATCTGTATTTCCAACCCGAACTTTCTCACCCCCAGAACCACCCATCCCCCTGTCTTCCACCCACTTCTATTAGGGTGTCTCAGCAGCACCTGAAACCCACCAAACCCAAAGGTAACTTCGTCATCACTGTTCCCTCAAGCCCACATTCATCTGTGAGAAGCCCCACTTGCCAAAAATGGGCCCAGCTTCCCTAGCCCCGAACCTGAGGGTCACCTTTCGCTCAAGCAAATCAATGTGCAAGCCCGATCCAACGTACTTTCTGACAGGTCACCAGCGTGGCCCCTTTCACAGCCCACTGCTTTAATTCACATCTCCGGTCTCCTCCTCGGGATTAAAGCCTCTGGTTTCTTCAGCCTCTCACCGCTCCAACCCATTCTTCGCGGCTCCACAGAGAAAGAAATCCTTCATCCAGCCTCACATACGGCAAACTAGGTCCTTTGTGAGTTAGTGCCTCTGGCTG